CATACAGGACGTTTTTACAGCGGCTGTTTTTGGATTCTGGCGTTTTTTTCTACAGCCAGTAAACTCCCCACTGTTGTCCTATGTGTTCATGCACACATAGGCTTTAATCAGTGTTTTTTGGCTGGGGTGTTTTGTGGCTGGAAAAAAAAAACCCAGGACTAGTGGGTTTCAAGAGGAGTTTGTTAGCTGTAAAAATGCTCTAACGCTGATAAAAATTTACACTAAACACTAAAAAAAGTGTCTATCTGGTGTTTATGAGCATTTTTGAGCCTGAAGATTTTCTGGGAGTATAACTTTGTTGAAAAACACAAAAAAATGCTGAAAAAAGCTAATGCAAAAATGCTAAAAGAAAACTCACATTTTTATTGCAGCATTCTGCAGCTAACACTGCTTGCGTTTTTATCACTAACTAACGGTCGGTGAGAACTGATTGAATTATACTGACATCAACAGTAACACTAATACAGTTATCAGTAATAGTACTATACACTGTCACTGTACTAATGACACTGGCTGGGAAAGGGATTAATATCTTGGGTAATCAAGGGGTTAAGTGTGTGCTTAACAATGTGTAATGTGTATATTATGTGCTGCTTTTTACTAAATACCTCTTTGTTTTGCAGGGAGAAGAAACAATGAGATCATTCCCTCTGTACAGAGTTCTGTGTTGAATGTCAACACAGGGCTCTGTGCTGTGACTGGACACAGCCAGTCACCAGGTCCCAGCCATGAATCATTGGCCAGGACCTGCTGACAAACTCCTGCTGTATACAATCACATTGGAAGTCAGCGGGAGGGAGAGGGTGGGCGTGCATGCCTGCCCTGTACCCATAAGAGGACAGTGACATTGCAGGATGGCGGCCCTTAAGTGGTTAAGGAAGACTCATTTACCTGGATCAACTATCCTTGGTGTTTTTACCTGTAAATATTAATATCCAGTTATATTTTGTGCATTTAAGAATGCATCCAGGCCTTTTTTCTAACAATTTACTGAGCTGGCAAGAACTAGTTCTTGAGGGAGTGTATTCCACATTCTTTTATTGTGAAGAAACCTTTCTGTATTTTTACCCCCCTTTGTATTATACATGGAGATCATATCCCCCATTATGTATTATACCTGGAGATTCCCCCCTTATGTATTATTTGGAGATCAATATCCCCCCTTATGTATTATACATGGAGATCATATCCCCCTTATGTATTATACATGGAGATCATATCCCCCCTTATGTATTATACATGGTGATCATATCCCCCCTTCTGTATTATACATGGAGATCATATCCCCCCTTATGTATTATACATGGTGATCATATCCCCCCATGGAGATTATCCCCCCTTATGTATTATACATGGAGATCATATCCCCCCTTATGTATTATACATGGAGATCATATCCCCCCTTATGTATTATACATGGAGATCATATCCCCCCTTATGTATTATACATGGAGATCATATCCCCGCTTATGTATTTCCACCCTTATGTCTTTTATTTAAGGATAGTGATCAAATAAAGCCATGCCACAAAAAAGGTGGTTAGAATATGCATGACAACACCTTGACACGCCCCACTCGGCTTTTCTTTGGCATTGGCACAGTAAAGGCTTCTTTCTGGCAACTCGACCATGCAGCTCATTTTTGTTCAAGTATTGTCGCATTGTGCTCCTGAAAAAAAAATGCACCGTCTTTTTCCAGAGCAGCCTGTATTTCTCCTGAGGTTACCTGTGGGTTTTTCTTTGTATCATGAACAATTTTTCTGGCAGTTGTGGCTGCAATCTTGGTCTACCTAACCTCCCCCCTTATGTATTATACATGGAGATCATATCCCCCCTTATGTATTATACATAGAGATCATACCCCCTTATGTATTATACATGGAGATCATATCCCCCCTTATGTATTATACATGGAGATCATATCCCCCCTTATGTATTATACATGGAGATCATATCCCCCCTTATGTATTTATACATGGAGATCATATCCCCCTTATGTATTATACATGGAGATCATATCCCCCCTTATGTATTATACATGGAGATCATATCCCCCCTTATGTATTATACATGGAGATCATATCCCCCCTTATGTATTATACATGGAAATCATATCCCCCCTTATGTATTATACATGGAAATCATATCCCCCCTTATGTATTATACATGGAGATCATATCCCCCCTTATGTATTATACATGGAGATCATACCCCCCCTAATGTATTATACATGGAGATCATATCCCCCCCCCCTTATGTATTATACATGGAGATCATATCCCCCTTATGTATTATACATGGTGATCATATCCCCCTTATGTATTATACATGGAGATCATATCCCCCCTTATGTATTATACATGGAGATCATATCCTCCTTATGTGTTATACATGGAGATCATATCCCCCCTTATGTATTATATATGGAGATCATATCCCCCTTATATATTATACATGGAGATCATATCCCCCCCACCCCCTTATGTATTATACATGGTGATCATATCCCCCCTTATGTATTATACATGGAGATCATATCCCCCCTTATGTATTATACATGGTGATCATATCCCCCCTTATGTATTATACATGGAGATCATATCCCCCCTTATGTATTATACATGGAGATCATATCCCCCCTTAATCTCCTCTTCTCAAGAGAGAATAAATTCAGTTCCTCTAATCTTTCCTCATAGCTGATCTCCTCCATGCCTCTTATCAGTTTGGTTGCCCTTCTCTGCACTTTCTCCAGTTCCCCAATGTTCTTTTTGTGAATTGGTGCCCAAAACTGAACTGCATATTCCAGATGAGGTCTTACTAATGATTTGTATCGGGAAAATGATATCTCTCTCTCTGGAGTCTATACCTCTCCTAATACAAGAGAGGATTTTGCTCACTTTAGGAATCACAGCTTGACATTGCATGCCATTATTAGGTCTATGATCTACCAGAACTCCCAGATCCTTCTCCACCATTGATTCCCCCAGTTGTACCCCCCCTCCCCCTAGTATGTATGATGCATGCATATTCTTAGCCCACACGTGCAAAACCTTACATTTATCAACATTAAACCTCATTTGCCACATAGTTGCCCAATTACACAGAGCATTGAGGTTGGCTTGTAAGTTGGAGACATCCTGTAAGGACGTTATTCCACGGTACAGCTTGGTGTCATCTGCAAAGACTGAAACTGTATTGTTAATCCCAGACCCTATATTGTTTATAACTATATTAAAAAGTAAGGGTCTCAACACTGAACCTTGGGGTACACCACTGACAGCCCTAGACCAGTGGTGGGCAACCTTTTTTTTCAACTGAGCCAAATCTCGCCAAAACCACGATTGAAATTTATTTTGAGAGCCACATTTTTAAAACTGAAAATACATAGGATGGTACACTGTTTTTAGTTTCAATAAGTTTTTATAGTAATTCATCCCCCATAGTAATTCATCCCCCATAGTAATTCATCCCCCATATAGTAATTCATCCCCCATATAGTAATTCATCCCCCATAGTAATTCATCCCCCATAGTAATTCATCCCCCATAGTAATTCATCCCCCATATAGTAATTCATCCCCCATAGTAATTCATCCCCCCTATAGTAATTCATCCCCCATATAGTAATTCATCCCCCCTATAGTAATTCATCCCCCATATAGTAATTCATTGCCCCCTATAGTAATTCATCCCCCATATTAATTCATCCCTCATATAGTAGTAGTAAGTAAGTAGCAAGTAGTAAGCCAAGTCCCCCCTGTGTCAATTCACTTACCTTTGCTCCGCGCGTTCCTCTCGCCGTGTTCCCGCACCGTTCCGGTCTTCAGGGCGGCTGTGAGAGGAGCCTAGCTCCTCTCACGTTCGTCACGCTGCCCCGCCTACACACATCCTGACAGCCAATCACTGCCTATCAGGATGTGAGTGGCAGCGAGACTGGCCAATCATTGCATTTGAGCGCGCTGCCCTGGCTGTTTTTTTTTTGGATCACGCTGCAGAGTCCCTGCCGCCCGAGAGGAGGGAGGGGAGTGGGCGCCCGGCACACAAGAGCCGCATTAAAGCGTGTAAAGAGCCGCATGTGTGGCTCGCGAGCCGCGGCTTACCGACCACTGCCCTAGACCATTCAGAGCCATGTTTCTCAACCTTTTTTCAATCAAGACACCCTTTAAAATGATGGCCAGTCTTGAGGCACTCCATTCTAAAATGTAAACAACTATTCTAATAGTTTTATATAACGCAGCAACATCCACACATGGAGGACACCCAACATTAGAGGTGATTTATTCTTTTGAAGCAAATAAACATTTGCACACTGGTACTGACTAGTATTCCAACGTTTCTCTTCCCAGTTTTTTTCTCCATCACTGAGCTAATGTGACCCCAGCACTGATGGAGAGGGGCAGGGGAGGGTCAAACTAGGATGCTGTGCAGGCAACTGACATCCTCCTTATCAGCCAATGATGTAATTTGTTGTCAGAACGCAGGTGGCTAGAAGGTGGTAACGTGCACAATGAAAACCTGTGGCTTTGTGTAACTAAAAGGCAGACTTGTTCCACCCACTGGCTTGTATACAAGTTTTGGGCAATTTTTAGACATTTTGCCAAGGCACCCCTGCAGAAACCTCAAGGCACCCCAGGGTGCCTGGGCGCCTGGATTGAGAAAGGCTGATTCAGAGTATGAATTATTAACCACTACTCTCTGAATACGATCTTTTAGCCAGTTTTCTATCCATTTACATATGGATTTTTCCAAGCCCGTAGACTTTACCTTACACATTAGTCGTGTGTGGGGCACTGTGTCAAACGCTTTTGCAAAATCCAAGTATACCACGTCCACCGCCACCCCTCTGTCCAAGTATACCACATGCACCGCCACCCCTCTGTCCAAGTATACCACATGCACCGCCACCCCTCTGTCCAAGTATACCACGTCTACAGCCACCCCTCTATCCAAGTATACCACATCCACCGCCACCCCTCTGTCCAAGTATACCACATCCACCGCCACCCCTCTGTCCAAGTATACCACGTCTACAGCCACCCCTCTGTCCAAGTATACCACATCCACCACCACCCCCTCTGTCCAAGTATACCACGTCCACAGCCCACCCTCCATCCAAGTATACTATGTCCACAGCCACCCCTCTGTCCAAGTATACCACGTCCACAGCCACCCCTCTGTCCAAGTATACCACGTGCACAGCCACCCCTCTGTCCAAGTATACCACAGCCACAGCCCCACCCCACTGTCCAAGTATACCACATCCACCGCCACCCCTCTGTACAAGTATACCACGTCCACAGCCACCCCTCTGTTCAAGTATACCACATCCACTGCCGCCCCTCTGTCCAAGTATACCACGTCCACTGCCGCCCCTCTGTCCAAGTATACCACGTCCACAGCCACCCCTCTGTTCAAGTATATCACGTCCACAGCCACCCCTCTGTTCAAGTATACCACGTCCACCGCTACCTCTCCGACAAGTATACCATGTCCACAGCCACCCCTCTGTCCAAGTATACCACATCCACAGCCCCCACCCCACTGTCCAAGTATACCACATCCACCGCCACCCCTCTGTTCAAGTATACCACGTCCACAGCCACCCCTCTGTTCAAGCATACCACATCCACTGCCACCCCTCTGTCCAAGTATACCACGTCCACAGCCACCCCTCTGTTCAAGTATATCATGTCCACAGCCACCCCTCTGTTCAAGTATACCACGTCCACAGCCACCCCTCTGTCCAAGTATACCACGTCCACCGCTACCCTCTCTGACAAGTATACCATGTCCACAGCCACCCCTCTGTCCAAGTATACCACAGCCACAGCCCCACCCCACTGTCCAAGTATACCACATCCACCGCCACCCCTCTGTTCAAGTATACCACCACCTCCACAGCCACCCCTCTGTTCAAGCATACCACATACACTGCCGCCCCTCTGTCCAAGTATACCACATCCACAGCCACCCCTCTGTTCAAGTATATCACGTCCACAGCCACCCCTCTGTTCAAGTATACCACATCCACTGCCACCCCTCTGTCCAAGGTTTTGCTCACCTCCTCATAAAAAGAAATCAGATTTGTTTGATAACTTTGGTTGTTCATGAATCCATGCTGACTATTACTTAAGAAAAAATAATTTCTAGCAAAACATAATTTCAGCTTTAATTTGCTGTATGAATTTTATGATTGTTTAGAGATTTTTTTCTTTCTCTAAGCAATAGGTGTACTTAATGTACAGATATTCTGGACTCCACCCATTTCTGCAAACTAGAAATATTCCCACCTTCATTCCTAGTATCATTATGCAGCCTGAACTGCAGGAAGTGTCATGACAAGGTAATGTGTTCTAGATCCAAAGGGATTCGTTCTTTAGCTAGACTTTACCGTTGTTACATAGACAACTAACAGTTTAATTATTCAGGGCTATATTCTAATTAGTGAACAGAACAGTAGCTAATGTTTTATTTTAATACCGCAAGGAACAATGCATGCATATATTTTCAAAGGGGCAATGCAAACTAAGCACATCAAAGTGGGAAATGGATGTAAAACCTTTAACTCATCTACCTCTTGTTTTAGTAGCCCGCCAAGATAGTATTACTTTTTATGAATAGTGATCAGTGATGAGGTTTAACCACTTCAATGCCGAGCACTTTTACCTCCTTCCTGCCCAGGCCAATTTTCAGCTTTCAGCATTGTCACACTTTGAATGACAATTACATGGTCATGTAACACTGTACCCAGAAAAGATTTTTAACCTTTTTGTTTCACACAAATAGAGCATTCTTTTGGTGGTATTTAATCACCACTGAGTTTTTTATTTTTTTGCTAAATAAACAAATAAAGATCAAAACTTTTGAAAAAAAATTCTGTTATAAAATTTTGCAAATAAATAACCTTTCTTCAAAATTTTAGGTCAAAATGTATTCTGCTACATTTCTTTGGTGAAAATAACTCAAATTAGTTTAGATTATTTAGACTGTAGAAAAGTAATAGAGTTCACAAACTATGGTATATATATCTGACAATTGACCAATACCAACAGACAATGTCATTTCTTGAAGCCCGAAAATGCCAGGATAGTACAAATACCCCACAAATGGCCCATTTTTGGAAAATAGACAGTCCGAGGTTTTTAGTAAGAGGCATGGCAATTGAAGTTGCAATTGTAACAATTTTTTTGGAAAATAAAGAAATAAAAAAAAAAAAACACTTTTTTTTTTCACATAATGTCACCAGTCCAGTACAGTGTTATCATATACAGTAACTGGTGTAGTAGTGATCAGGGACATTGACTGGTGACAGCTGGTAAAAAAAAAAAATAAAATAGTAATTTATTTTTCAATTTTTTTTCTTTTTTTTCTTTTTCATTTTTTCTTTTATTACTATTTTGTTTTTCAATACACTGTGACCAGATCAATACAGTGGTACCATAATAACATTGTACTACTCTGAACAAGTGATCAGGATTTTTTTTTTTACACATTATGATTGCTCATACGAATGAATTTCATTGATATTATCAACCATTTTTACTGAATGAAACTGATTCATTCAGTGTCATTTGTTGTGATTAGCTGTGACTGGCCAAAACTCATCACATGGTACAGATGGGCTGTGATTGGCCCTGTCTGTACCATGTGACCGCTGTGATCAGTCACAGCTAACAACACAATTGTATACAATGGATGGCATGAAAGGAAGCCATATATTGTATAAAATTGTCATGTGATCTGCTGTGATTGGTCACAGCAGATCACATGACACTGGCAGTGGGCCTGTGTAGTGATCAGTCAATGGCTGTGTGCAGTGGAATTACAGGTGACAGATCGCACCGCTGCATGGCTCCGCGGCCACGTGAGCGGCACCTCTGAGAGGATGTCATATGAAGTCCGCTCAGAAGGAGGAGCGTCTCACCCGGCCATCAATCTGCTATAGGCTGGGTGGGAAGGTGTCAAAAACCATTCTTACATTTTTTGATTCTCTGCGGTTCAAACAAATATGTATTGTGCAGGACACCAGGGAAGGCAGAAATATATCATTGTTGCTTGGGTTGTGGTCCCTTTAATAGAGGATGACAAGAAACAGTTTGGGAGTACTCAAGGATTCTCACCCGTGCAGGGTGAGGGGTTTTGGGGTGAACCATAAAGAAAGGAAAGCCTGATTCTCAGCTTTCCCTGGATTAAGTCCTGATAGGAGTCCTGGAATGCAGAGGCTTGGATAGATTTTATGGTGGGAAAGGGTCTCCAAACCTAATCCATATCAAGACTTAAAGTAATTAAAATGTTCTGAACTGCACAGGGTGATGGATTCCAAGGTGAACCAAAAAGGATTGTTAGAGTAGACATTCAGTCAAATCTTAACTATACTTAAAACTTCTTCCATCCCCATTCTAAGCCTATTCTAACTACACTGTTAAGTAAAGAGCTCCATGCTTACCTATTCACAGGTCTCTCCAGGCCGGTCACATGATTGGCTCCCAGCAAAGGTTTCAGTGTAGAGGAGGGACAGACAACAACAGATGTATGTCTATGTAAGTAAGTCTATGTAGGTCTGTGGGTTATGTCATTGCCCCAGCTCTGCAGCTGTTGCCAGTGACCTCTCATCTCCCCTGATGTTGGCCGTTGGGAGATCATGTGACCAGACTGGAGCACCCCAAGAATAGGTAAGTATATTCATCTTTTCTTTCACAGGGTAGTTAGAGTAGGCTTAGAATGAGGGTGGGTGCAGGTTTACTGTATATACAGTACAGTTAGGAATTGACTGGACTTCTACTTTAAGTCTTGATATGGATCAGGTTTTGGAGACCCTTTCCCACAATAACATCTATCCAAGCCTCTGCATTCCAGGACTCATATCAGGACTTAATCCAGGGAAAGCTGAGAATCAGGATTTCCTTTTTTTTATGGTTCACCCCAGAACCCCTCACCCTGCACGGGTGAAAATCCCTGAGTACTCCCACACTGTCTCTTGTCATCCCCCATTAAAGAGATCAATACCCAAACAATGATGATATATATGTGACTTCCAGGATCCATCCCTAGTGTTCTGTAGAATATGCAAATATTTGGAAAAATCAAAAAGTGATTCTTCAGCGATTCCCTGGATCTGATAAACCCTATTCTTGAACAATTGGAACTTAGAGTCTTTTTGTTGAGCAACTACGCTCTGTCATGAAGTGTTCATGCTCTATAGATGTCATCTCTAACTTGCACTCACCAGCCTCTTTATTAGGTACACCTGTTCAATTGCTTGGTAACAAAACTACTAATCAGCCAATCACATGGAAGCAACTCAATGCATTTAGGCATCTAGACGTGGTGAAGACGACTTGCTGAAGTTCAAACCAAGCATCAGAATGGGGAAGAAAGGGGATTTAAGTGACTTTGATTGTGGCATGGTTGTTTGTGCCAGACAGGCTGGTCCGAGTATCTCAAAAACTGCTAATCTACTGGGATTTTCATGCACCACCATGTTTACAGTGAATGGTCTGAAAAAGAGCAAATTTCCGGTGAGCGTCAGTTGTGTGGACAAAAATTCCTTGTTGATGTCAGAGGTCAGATAAGAATGGGCAGACTGGGTTGAGATGAAAGAAAGGCAACAGTAACTCAAATTGGACAAAGAAGATTGGAAAAGTGTTGCCTGGTCTGACAAGTCTCGATTTCAGTTGTGATATTCAGATGGCAGGGTTAGAATTTGGCATAAACAGCATGAAAGCATGGATCCATCCTGCCTTGTATCATTGGTTTAGACTGGTGTTGTAATAGTATGGGGTATACATTCTTGGCACACTTTTGTTCCTTTAGTACCAATGTTGCATCGTTTAAATGCCATGGCCTACCTGAGCATTGTTGCTGACCATGTCCATCCATTTAGGACTACAGTGTCCCCATCTTCTGATGGCTCCTTCCAGCAGGATAATTTCACAAAGCTCAAATCATGTCTAACTGGTCTCTTGAACATGACAATGAGTTCACTGTACTCCAATGGCCTCCACAGTCACCAGATCTCACTTCAATAGAGCACCTTTGGGATGTGGTGGAAGGGGAGATTCACATCATGAATGTGCAGCCGATAAATCTGCAGCAACTGCTTGGTGCTATCATGTCAATATGAACCAAAATCTCTGGGGAATGTTTCCAACACCTTGTTGAATCTATGCCATGAAGAATGAAGGCCGTTCTGAAGGCAAAAGGGGGTCCAACCCGGTACTAGCAAGGCGGACCTAATAAAGTGGCCGGTGAGTGTATGTGACCAGCCTGATGATTTCTGAATGTTTCAAAAAGTCGTGCACTGTGATTTCTTATTTATTTCAGGTACTTTATATAGCGCTGTCAATTTACACCACACTTTAGATATTGAACATTCACATCAGTCCCTAACCCTCAAGGGGTGTACAATCTAAGGTCCCTAACTTACATACACATATTAGGGCCAACTTAGACAGGATCCAATTAACCTACCAGCATGTCTTTGGAGTGTGGGAGGAAACCCACACAAGCACAGGGAGAACATGCAAACTTCAAGCAGGAGGCACCAT